GCCCTCTCCGGCTGGGCAAGTGGCAGCAAGGCAGAGCCCCCATTCCCACCATTGCTGCACCCGTATTCCGTGCCTTCCACCCCAGCTGGGCAGCTTGTCCCAGCCCTAATCCTTCCCTCCCTCGCACCCCTTCCCTCCCCCAACCCCAGCAGACTTACCAGCTGGAGGCAGCTGTGTGCAGGGTGGTGAGGACTGCTGCCTGTTTTGTCTATGGACGAATTTCCAAAGTGGTGCCAAAGCTTTGGATGTGATTCAGCCGAATTGAATCGGGACAGTGATTCAAATTTCCAAATAGAATCACTCTCCTTCTGAATCAGCCGAATCCAAATCCAAAGTGAATACTTGCTGCTTCGCACAGGCCTACTATCTACAGTATCAGATCATTACAATTCTTGTACACTAAGGTCAAGCAGTATAGCACAACTCTCAAATGCAAGAGCAAGATGCATTTCTGCCCCTAGGGCTGCTATTTTCACAAGAGAAGGACAAAGGATTCAGTGCCGCCTTTGCTTGTGGACGTTCTCTGTGGTTGACTTTTGATCGAGAGGTTGGTGGATCTGCTCCTGTCCTCCTGACTAGGCCTCAAAGGACTGGGAGTGGACACAGGCAGCAGCATCCATTCATTCCTGTAGAAATTAGAAACAAGGAGCTTATTGCCCTGCTTGCTCAAAAGCCTCAGGAGAGGATACAGAGCAAGTCTAAAGGTTTTGGAATCAGAAGGAACCTGCCTTCCCCTGGCCCTGTGACCTTGAGATCCACAGAAGTACAGATGCTGCACAAAGGAGCTGAACGTATACTTTTTTAATGAAAGGTAAGAGTTTAAATTTCTCTGAATTCAGTATATTAAACTATATTTTAGTTGCATTAGTATATTTTCATAACCTATATCATTTGTAATTGACATTAGGAGGCACTACTTCACTGTCAGGGCGGCTAGGAGCTGGAGCCAACTTCCAAGGGAAGTAGCTCACCCCTACCCTGGGGGTCTTCAAAAGGAGGGTAGACAATCATCTAGGCAGGTTCGTTTGATCCCAGCATCCTTTCCTGCCTATGGCAGGGGGTTGGACTTGATGATCTGCTTAGGTCCCTTCTGACCCTACCAGCTATGAAACTATAATTGAATTCCTACTAATCTGATGTTTTGTGACAAACCACCCAACCTTAGCAGTGAGGTGAGGCCTGCAGGCAAGGGAAGTTGTTCACAGTTAACTCTGAGGTGGCCTCTCCTCCGTTCATTACTAAATTTGTACGTGCTGTAGCTTAATGTTTATATATGGAAGCTAGCCACTAAATTAGATTTTTCTTTTTTCTCCCTCAGCAAAAGGGGGTGCTCAACTTCTAGCATATGGATGCATTTCCACACTGCAAGTTATTCTAAGAAAAAATATGATTTGCAAATACTGTCAAATGAAATATGCATTTCCAAATGCTACTAGGATGCCGAAGTACATCCTTGTATGTAAGAAGTGTCCGAGGTAGATCATGATGATGGAACTGCAAGTAGCTCTTTCCAGCGTTCTTGATCCAGAAGTCCTCCTGCTGCTTCTATAACATTGGCATCACAAAGAGTTGCCCAATCAACATCCTCAAGTAATCAAATATTGCAACCAGCTGTATACAAAATACACTCAATAGCTTCATTTGTAGACAAGATGACACCAGAAGATCAGGAAAAAATTGACCAAGCTCTTGCAAGAGCAGTATATTATTCTGGGATGCCATTGTCAATAACTGAAAATGCATACTGGCAGGAAGTTTTTAAATTACTAAGACCATCATACCATTTGCCCAGCAGACAGTTGTCGGGCAAGCCTCTTTTAGAGTTGGAATATGAAGGTGTAATGCAATCTGTGCGAGGAAAAATCAACAAAACACTGTCTTGCAGTACTTACAGATGGATGGACAAGTGTTCAGGGAGAAAGAATCGTAAACTTTGTGATAACACCTCAAACAGTTTTTTACAGAAGCATTGAAACAGGAGAGAATAGGCATACTGCAGAGTATATCAGTAGTAAAATATGTGAAGTCCTACAGAAGGTTGGGAGCGGTAAAGTATTTGCTTTGCTGACTGACAATGCAAGTAACATGAAAGCAGCATGGGAGATTATAATGAATAAATATCCACATACTACTGCAATAGTATGTGCATCCCATGGGCTAAACTTGCTTCGTAATGACATCATGAAGTCGGATACTCTGCAAAAGATCTATAGAAGAGCAAAAGAAGTTATAAAAGATGTAAAAACTATTCATATTGTGGCTACAGTCTTTAAGAAGAAACAGGAAGAAAAGAATGCAAAGAATAAAATAGTGATACTCAAACTCTGTAGTAAAACTAGATGGGGTGGAGTGGTGATCTCATTTGAAAGTTTACTAAAAAACAAAGAAGCTCTTCAAGAAACAGTAATAAGTGAGGCTCTTAAAGTACCCAGAAGTATAAGAAACACTGTACTTGATGAGGATGTCTTCTGGGTGCAGCTGCAGAACTCCCTGAAGATTCTAAAGGCATTTTCTTCACCAGTTACTGCATCTGAATCAGACAGTGCACTTTTGTCAGACATTCCTTACTAAATGGCCCAGACAAAATCAACTGTTTTTGAGAATCTAAGTGCATCTCCACTTACAAGTACAGAAGAAAGAAAAGTGAAAGGTTTTATTAACAGACAAGAGGAATTTTGTTGCCAGTCAATTCATGCTACTGCAAATCTCTTATATATGCCAAGATTCAAAGGCAGAAATGTTAGTGATGTTAGCACTGCCACTGCATTTGACTGGATTATGAAACAAGCAACATACCTAGGACTACATGTTGGAAAGGTATTTTCAAATGTTGCAAAATACAGAACTTCTTCAGATATTTGGTCCAGGAATGCAGTCTGGGACTGTCAAGCATATCCCTCCTGCAACATGGTGCCAAGGTCTTTGCATGACAGCCTCTGACTCCTCTTGCTTCTTGCCTGCTTCAGATTCCTCCATCTTCTGCAGCATGTGGAAGAAACTGGTATATATTTGGAAATATTCACACCAAATCAAGAAATAAACTAATATGTGAAAGAATAAAGAAGCTTGTCTCAATCCAGGCAAACCTTCTTCAGTTTTCAGAAGTCCATGAAGAATCTGAAGAAGCAGAAACTGCTGATATTGATAGCTCAGAAAATGAGACTGATTAGACAAAGTTTCACAGAGCAGAATTTGTATTCAGTGAGTCTCGGGGGGGAGAAGGGGGCCTTCCTTTTTTTCTCAGCTGTTTCTAAACATGAGTGCTTTCTGTATCTGCTTGACAATGTGGAGGAGACCAAGTCCCTAATACATAATAACTTCCTTTGTTTTACTATAACGTTGATGGTTTCTTCTATTTTCAACTTTAATTTTTACCTGCTTCTCACAAACTGGCAAAAACTAAGAGATGCTAGGTACCTTAGAGTTCAGCAGCTTGTAGCTCAATCTGTAACAAAATTTTAAAACATTTTAAATTAAATTCAGTTAGCAAATTTTAAAGTATTGTCTGAATAAACAATACTTTAAAATTTAATAAATATATCAAACATGATGCATCATATATATGTACAGTATGTATGTATGTGTGTATATATGTATGTATGTGTGTATATGTATATATAAAATCAGACATGATAATTATATGAGCAAACCAAGTTACACATAATCCATTTTATGTTCTTAAAGTAGCAAAGTGAATTTAGATAGGTAAAGGGGGCTAAGAAAATAAGTATTGCATATATTTCAATTTTCCCCAAAACTTCCATTTTTTCCCAGGGGAATAAAAAACAGAAGAAAATCAGTTTTTTTCCATGGCTTCAAAATTTCTGGAAATTTTACATCTCTAAACCTACAGGTCCCTTTCAGTACCTATAACAAAATGACTTAATTCAAAATAAGAGACACCTTTCCTTGGATAAGAATTATAAGCTAGGGGACTTGGTAGTGACAAGGGGACTTGGTAGCAGCTTACCGCTACATCAAGGGAGCGCATCAAGGACTTGGTGAGCAGCTGTTCACCAGGGCACCCATGGGGAAGACCAGGAGCAATTCCTGGAAGGCTGCTTCAGGCTCAATTCCAGGAAAAACTCCTTCACAGTAGGGGTGTCCATACTATGAAATAAACTCCCTCCAGTGGTGGTGCAGTCACCTACCTTGGAAATCTTCAAAAGGAGACTGGACAGTTACCTTCCTGGGGTCACTTGACCCACATTGTCTTTTCCTGCCTAGTGCAGGGGGACTGGACCTGACAAGGTCCCTTCCAGCCCCTAACAATCTATGAATCTATGAATAGACTTCTGCTTGAAAACGTATGCTTTGAAGCTTGCCTGGTCCCTGAGCCTTACGCTGACCTGTGATGGGGGATGTCACTCTTGTATTTAATGGATGTCAGTTTCCCATGACCTAGCTTTAAAATCTCAGAAAAGGCTGACAGGTATACTGAGATTTTATTAGGTGTCTATCAGTCCCTGAAATGGTGTATGGGTGGGGTGTGCAGAAATAAATTCTTCCACTGGATTTCAGAAAGTTTAATAGAACTTGCATATAACTGCTGTTCTTCCATTCTTTCCATTTAACTCTTACCAGTGTGCCTTTAATGGCACTTGCCTGAAACAGGTTTTTATGTATGGCCCTAGGAGCATAATCTGATGTCCGTAGGGTTGCATGGGTAGAGTAGCTGAGGGCGTAATTTAACCTGCAGGCTTTTGATCACTGATAATGACGTGTGGGATGGAAAAAGAATCAAGGGTGAATTTGTTGAGCTGACAATAAGAAAAAATTTTTTTTTTACTTTTAGTCTGAGAAAATGTGATATGAAAATCAGTTTTAATGGTCACAGACCCCTGCAATGGCATTTTAAGCTGCTTTCATATATATAGGTGATAATTGTAACTCTTTGTAGTAGCAATTTAAAAGTTAAAAGATTCTAAGTTAAGCTATTTTCTTTTGGACTGTTTATAAGATACTATAAATAGATAAACTCAGTTAACTTTGCATTTTAGGCTTTTTTATTACCTTCTTCTGATATATCTGCAACACGAAAAGTAGTGAAGGTATACAGAAAATGGATATTGCAAGAGAAACCTGTGTTTATGGAAGAACCAGAGAAAAAAGAAAACAGTCAAGATGATTTGACTACCTTGGAGCATTCAGAAACACAGACAGATAGCAAACATGTATGGTACCAGTTGTTATTTAATACAAACAGGCAGAATAATGTTTATCTTTTATTAAGTATTGGTTTGTAAAATATTTTTTTGTTTAACTAAACTGATACTTATTTGCCTGTTTATCTTTTCCTTCTCTAAATCTGTATTTTAAAAAGTGCCAAGTCTCATAATGCCCACTACTGGGAATGGGAGATTCTGGATGCCAATCCCTTTTCAAAAACATGGTCTTTTAATCTTCCTTTTGTTTCCATGTAAAAACCATAAGAGAGGCTTAATTAAACAAATAATTTACATTCTACAGTATTAAATTGTGAGTAAATTGGATGCTTATCTTTCTGGGATCCTATGCCCCCAGCTGACTTCCTGCCCTTTGGGCAGGAGGCTGGACTTGATGATCTTCTGAGGTCCCTTCCAGCCCTAATGTCTATGAAATCTATGAAATTCTACTAAAGTAGAGCTCACTGTATAGAGTGATGTTTGCTTCTGGCAGTAATATTTCAGTTTGGGTATAAAGTGACTATATTAAAGTTGCATATATTTGAAATATAAATGCATTATAATATCTTGATAAATGCCAGCTTCCATTTTCAAATTTCTGTCAGTGTTCTGAATTAGAGCAAAAACATGGATCCAGGCATCCTGAATATTAGGAAGTTCAGATGCAGATCTGAACTTTGTGCCTTGGACCTTTTTCATATATTGAACCAGAAATATATCCCAACTGTATTTGACCATTTCTCTGAGGTGTGAAATTAGTTAAAAGAGTATTTCTTCATCCTGGCAAAAAAAGATTACAGATATTACAAAAAAAATTGCAGTTCCAGTTTTTATACTGTTTTATAGAGAGCCAAAATATTGACTCTGAATTTAAGGGGGACAGCCCTTAAACGTTTTATGAGCCTTTAAACATAATATGACGTAAATATTTGAATAAAAGAACACATTGATTAATGGGCACAAATTTATTTCCGAATTAAGCATAGAACCCTTGTCACTGTTCTGTTTCCCTCCTGGTAGCATTTGCATGTTCTATATGTAAACATAAAGGGTAATGAAAGATATCCCTATTAATAAATTGACTTTTTTTTGTTTTTGAAAGTTTGCCACTGAACATTCTGGACATAAAAGAACTTCCAGCTGGGGAAGAACTTATTCCTTCACTAGTGCTGTTAGTAGAGGATGTATATTAGAAGATGAAGACAAAAATGTGAAAGCTGGGGCACAGGCTGCGTTACAGGTATGGTATTCAGAAAAAGCATGTGGTTTTAACAAGGACTTTAACAATTGCCTTAAGCTGTTTGGAAATCGGCAGAAGGAAGGGTTACTATATTTCCAGTTCCAAAAAAGAGGACACCTGTTATGTGGACGCCTCACTCCCCACCTGCAGCCTCTGTCTCTGTTGCTGCCCCTCACTCCCAACCCACAACCCCTGGCCCTGCCAGTACCCCTCACTCCTGATCCACAGTCCCTCACCCCCCAGGGCTATGCTGGTGTCCCTCAGGTTCAACCTGTAGCCCCCTGGCACTGCCAGTGCTTCTCACTCCCAAGCCACATGCTCTTCAGTCCTGCTGGTGCCCCTCACTCCTGACCCAAAGCCCCCTGTTCCCCCCAGCCCTGCTGGAGGGTGCATCCAACTACCCCCATCCCAACCATGCTGCAATGCAGTGGCTGTAATGGCTCTGACTTATGCGGGTGGCAGTGGAATGAGTCCAGCTCTGGTGTGGGCTGCAGGGAGAAGGAGGGGAGGCCTTTGGCACCAGGCAGCCTGGCTACGCCCTCTCCCCGGGCAGCGTTTCCCGGGTGCCCTGCCTCTGTGACCATGTGCCCTGGCTCCTGGTGCCACTAGTATGGCTGCGCAGCTCCCCACAGCCCCCAAAGGGCCCTCCCACCCCCTGCCCCTGTGCCCTGCCACAGCCCTAGCATCTAGAATCCATCCCCCAGCGCAGGCAGGCACCTGTCCCGCTCACATACCCTGGCCCTCCAGCCCCTGCTCCCCATAAACTTACCTGCATCCAGATGCCAAGGCTGTTCCCACGACCCTGCCAGGCTGCATGCCAGCCATGTGTGTGTGCACATGCCGATTCACATGGTGCCCCCTGCCTCCACTTGCCTTCCCTCTGTTCCCACCAGTGGAGCAGAGCAAAATCCTGCACATTTGTTCAGATTTAAAAAGAACGCCTGGATGGAGATCTGAGGACCCAGAAAGAGGACATGTCCAGGAAAACCCAGTTATATGGTAACCCTAGCAGAAGGGGCCTATATAAGAAAATAGAAACATTTTTAGGTTTTCTTCTTGTCTAAGACTGCAAGACAATTTCCATTCTAAGTCAGTTTTCATAGACCCATAACTTTGCTCTGGTAGATATCTCAAGGAAAAGTTACAACAAAATCTCTGAAGATATCTGGGCTTTTATAGGGTAAAAACAGTTTCTTCACCTCCTATTCAAAACAAAAAAAAGACCACATTTCCCCCAACCCTTGGTCAAGTGGGTAACTCAAGACAGGCAAAAGGTCACTTCAGTCATGGTACCTAAAGAGAATTTAATAAACAGTAACTGCTTAAAGCTTTGGGGTAAGGTGTTTTTAAAACCAGAGTTACAAATCACTGAGATTTCAGTCCTCATTTTAATTGCTTCAGCTGTAAACTGCCTAAATGCATGCTTATGTAAGTAACTATAATGATACCTGACAACAAAAATTTGTGAATTGCAGCAGCTGAAACTTCACTACTTCTGTATCTTAAAAATAAGGTAAAATGGTTGTGAACTAAGTGTAAATGTTTCCTTCTGAGCTCTCTATCTTAGCATTTCTCTACATGGAGAAGAGTGAACTGACAGTGCATTAGCCATTCCATATAAGTCCCTGCATGGACACTCTCACTGTGTACTAAGTTCAAGGGGACTTCCTCCTTTTTTAAAGTAGAGTGAGCTGCCACATGCCTAGAGTGGGCTGCCACATGCCAAGAGTGTCCAAACAAGGAGTTGCCAAAAGGTGATGGTGACCTACATTACTTTTTTACCTAAGTTTTTATACTTTTGTATTATATAGATTTTATAATTAAGGTTAAAATGGCTATTTATATAAAATTTGCATTCACTAAATTGGAACAAAAATAAAATTTGCTCTTATATTTTTTTATAGCAGTTGCAATTTTCCATCTATGACATTCTATAATAGGATGGGCTAGTGATAAAATTATGTGTAAAAAAAAGAAAAGCAGTAAATAGGTTTAATTCAAAGGTACAGATTTATTTGCATCTCATTTTGAACAAGATGCTCCTTGCCAGCAGGTAGGAAACACATACCATTGCTCATTTACTCAGAGAACATCCACAGTAGAATCCCTTGCAGTCTTAAGACTAAGATAGTCTTCAGTAGGATAGCCAGCATGGGACATAACTTCTAAGTAGCTGAAGCAGCTGAAAGAAAGGGATTTTTATTATTACAATTATTTTTGTCTCTACAGCTTTGAATAGCCTGAGTTGTATGGATCCAAAGAGCTCGGGCTATTCACCTCATTTGATCCAAAACTCTGCTTGTTCAGTCTGCATGTCTAACTGGATAACTGAATGAACACCAAGTAGTCAGTCACTTGTGCAGGCAGGATTAACAGGAGCAATATATGTGAACTGGGGACTTTGTATTAACATTGAAAAGAAGTAACTGTTGATCAAATATGAAGTGTTTTTTTCTCATGTCTTTGCAGAAATACTTGATAGGGAAAGCATAATATTCAGTCAGGCATATATTACTAGTATATCTAAAGTCAACATGGTCACTCAAGAAACAAATATGGCAGAGGAAGTTCACAAAACTAGCTATCTAAACTTTAAAGGCAAATCTGCATTCAGTCACCAATCAGGAGATGATTTTCTGCACACATCAGCAGCCTGTTTGAGAAGGTAAAATGCACATCTGGTTTAAAAAGAAAAGGCAGCTTTTAACTGGGAGCTTGTTTTTTAGTTTTTACAGATTCTCAGGGCTACTAAATAATTCTCTGCAGTTTTAATCCAAAATTTGGATTAAAAATAGTCTAAGGATCATGGAGCAGCATAATTTGGTTTCTACCTTTATTATTCCCTCTACCCCCTCCCCATCCTAAAATTCATTAAAAAGGGACTAAATTATATACTAATCCTGAGTACTAAGGGTTAGCCAGGGTTATCTCATTCTGTGAACCTAGTGATAAGCCATCTACTCAAGTAGTCTGTTAGCAAAGACCTTTTCTCTTAACAAGCTGCTGTTCCAGTTTCAAAATTTTGTCCTTGATGGGCTGGCTTTTGAGAAAATTATCCTAGTTAAGGGCCCTCCAACTTACATTAAAGACAGCAGGAGTCCTCCTATTAATGTGATAGCTGTACAATTGGGCCCTTTAAGAGGACATTCAGGTAAAGTGGTCAAAATGCTTCTATACGCCAGAAAGCACTCTATACTTTCTTTTGCTGTGCTAAAAATGGAGTTCTGCCGGGTTATGTAAGCACTGATTCAAGATTTGCTTTTTAAGTAAAGAATGGATAAAGGCCTTTTTCTTTTTGCCGTCTGAAGCAACTGTTAGTGCAGTTGAACCTTCTAATGAGTTTCCTTTTGGACAACTTTTAAGTTTATGCTTTATTTCTTTAAATGCATATTAAACTGTGCTCCTGACTTTATTAGACACTATTTGCATACTTACAAAGATGGGAATTGTTTGAAGCTATGGGATTGCCTGTGCTGACTGTAAATTTTCAAAAGTTGGACTACTGTTTAAATATGTTCAGCTAGAAAATAGGGGGTGTTCTTTCCCTTTCAACCCCCTGGCGAAAAGGGGGCAAAAACAAACATTCAAAAAATCCTGAAAATATTCCATTTTTATTGTAACAGTGAACACAAACAGAATGTATTATGTTTTTATTATTATGGTGGGTGAAACTTAACTCTCTTCTTTGAAATTGTGTGGAAGAGCAAAGAAAATAGTGATAGATTAAAAAAAAAAAAAGGAATACAACTTTCCTCTAAAGAAAGGTAAGGTCCAGTTAGAAGAGGACAAAATGGCTGTTGCAGAATTTGGCTGTTAGTCTTGTTTGGCGCTGAATTTTTTTCTAATTACAATGCTTTTCTTTCAAGGTGTTTTTGACCAATTCTGCAAATGTTTTTTTATTGGAACCCTGTGCTGAAGTCCCTGCACTCTTAAAGGAGCAAGTTGATGCTTGCAAAGCAGTTCTGAGTATTTTTAGGCGTATGATAATGGAACTTTCAATGGACAGAAAAACATGGTAAAGTTTAATTTATTTCACCTATATTTCACATTGTATTAATATTAGAACTGTAAGGCAGAATAACTGATCTGGAGAAAAGGCTTTATTTAAAAAAATATATAATAAGATTATACTTGCCATTTGGTAACACAATTTATGATTCCACAGAGGGAAAAATGCTCATAAATACGTTGAGTATTGAGAGAGTTTTGTTTTAAAACTTTTGCTACTATAACCTTTAGGTGAACTATTCTCAGTCTTAAAACTTGATTCTTGTGCAAGCTAAACATTCAGCATTTTACAATAATGTATTCAAATTTTGAAACGGTAAAAGCTGCTAAATTAAAAATTGATTTTTAATTTGTTGATCTAGAATTATATGAATCAATTCTTACGTTTGAAATGATCATATGTTACCCTAAGGCAGACCTTGTAGTTCAGGAGCTAAATTCCTGTGATTGCTGTGAAAATGTGGGAAGGCTTTTTTTTAAATCAAACCCATTCAGTTCCTCATTCTGTCACTGGGGCTGGCAGGTGCCTTTTTGTTTGTGCTTCTCTGTGTGGGCTTGAATATACCTCCCTAACCCCTTGATCTATTTATCACTAAAGATAAGCAAGTGCTTGGCTGGGTGTGTAGGCTTGAGCATACTTTCTACCACTTTTGCATATTTATCAGTTGCATTTCATCTAAAATTATTTTTCTAATGCAAGATGGACTATTTTATTTAATAGTAGAAATATGTAGAAGATGAAACCAAAATCTATGTTGACAGAATGTTACTAAAGCAGTGATTCTCAACCAAAGTGCTGTGGCACCCTAAGGGGTTGCCTTGATATCCGTTCCAAGGTACTGCACAGTGTTAGCATGGTTTGGTGTACAAACATGATTCACAAGAGAAACCTAGAGATTTCAAATAGGAATTCATAGTCTTAAAAACATTATCAACTATGATGGTCTTTCTGATATCTTTGCAATGGAAGAATTATTCTGTAATTTTTCCATCGTCAATAACAAATGAAAGTTAGAAGTTAGCATTTTCTAATGGGTACCTTCAGTCTAATGAGGGGTATCTTGAGTCTAAAAAGGTTGAGGACCACCGCACTAGAAAGTTGTGCACTGTGCTTATAGAAGCAACGTTGCATACACTAAGGGCTCCTTGCTCTCCTGCATTCTCCTCTGTATGCTCCCCATGTGTCACTCGTCCCTTTCCCTCCATTTCAGGACCCCTACATAACCTCACTTAATATCTCCGTAATGCCATGGACTCTGGGTTCCTTCGTGTCTGCTGTTTGTCTTTTCCTTTTCCCTTCTGAGTTCTGCTTTATCTTGTGCTTGTGCATCAGAATTTTAAAAGTTGTATTATGAGCAGGGATTCTGATTTTCTTTGTTTAAAAATCACAAATCCTCTGATTAAAACCCCCAAATGCACCCTTTTTCTCAATTAAAATGAAATGCTACTATACAGGCAACCCCTGCTTAATGCTGTTTCACTTAGCACTATTTTGCTATAATGCTCATTTTACATTCATACCTGATTCCACTTAGCGCTCAGTGAATTTCATTATAATGCTTACAGGCATCGAGCAGGGAGTGTACACTAGTGCCACAGTGCATTGGTGGTGCGCAGCCTCGTTGTGCAATTTAACCCGCCTGTGCCTGGGCCAGGTGGAAGCAGGGCTATGATCATACAATGACTCCTGCTGGGGGAGACCTGAGTGTCGCTCCTGGCGCCTGGAGTGACTGTGGCTGTGAGCGCCCACACACATGCACACACACACACACGCACACACACCCCGCGCCTGGCATGGAGGTGACCAGCAACACACACACACACACACACACACACACACACACACACCCCCCCCACACCCCGTGCCTGGCATGGAGGTGACCAGCAACACACACACACCGCGCCTGGCATGGAGGTGACCAGCACCACCTCCATGGCCCAGGCAGGTGGCATTGGCACAGCACCAGCTGAGCTGGCTCTGAGCTACCAGGTGTTCATGTTGCTGCTGCTGGGTGCCCTGGTTATGAATATTTATTTACATTAATTCTTATGGAAAAATGGGTTTCACTTACCACTACTCTGCTTAACGCTTATTTTTTCACGAACCAATTAAGAATGCTAATGGTGGGGGGTTGCCTGTATATATAGATATCAGTTGATCACAAAGTTTTATTGATATATAGATATATCTATCTATCTATATATAGATAGATGTATAATTTTAAAGCAATTTGAAAACCTACCACTGCCTCAATCACTATAACTAAAAACAATCCTAATTACCTATAAATGTTGGTGTTTGGTTTTGGGATTTTTAACACGCAAAATCAGAGCTCCCCCTGCCCCCTTTGTTCACCAGGATGCAGGTCCAGCTGCAGCTGTCCCCCCACCCAACAGCTTTGTGGCACTGAGCAGCCTTGATATGCCAGTGCCTTGCTCATGCTGTTGCCCCTCACTCCCCACTTACAGTCCTCTGGCCCTGCCAGTGCCTCTTACTCCCCACCCACAGCCCCCTACCACCCCAGCCCTGCAGGATGGGGCCCCTAGCTGCCAGGGCTATGGAGCCAAGAACCTGGGTCCTCAGCCCTCTGCCCCCCCACAGCAGTTACTGAGCCCCAACTGCTGCCCATGGAAGGTGGTGGTTGCTGTGGTGGAACAGAGCACAGGCCTGGCTCCCACTTCCCAACAGGTGGGCGGCACAACCAGAGTTGTCCCTGTGGTGGGGACAGGTGCAGGCTGCCTGCTGCAAGTTCAGGTTCCCTGTCCTGCTGCCCTCCCCCTGGGGCCTCTGCAGCCCAGTGGGCAAGGCATGGGAGGGCAGAGCAGGGAGGGGAAGTTGTGCCACTGCTGAGAGCCCTGTGCAGCTATGTGAGGTGCCCCCGCCCACCTGCAGCAGTAAAGGCCACAACTCTCTGCCACCACCCCCACTGCTTCTGGGTGGGCACAGGGCACCTTGCCATGACAGCATGGGGCTCCCTACAGTCATGGGTGACTGGTGCCTCTTCGAATGACCAGTTGCTGATGAGGGCAGAGGGGGGTCCCCCAGCAGTGGATTGCAGACCGGGGTGGGGAGGGGTCCCCCAGCAGCCAGTTGCCTATCCTGGAAGTGCCAGCAGCAAACCAGAAGCACTGCTGGAAAAACCAGAAGTGCCGCTAGTGCTTCTCGGGGGGGGGGGGCACTGGCCAGCGCTCCCCACTCTCTGGCCGGTGAGGGCCAATTTCAGGGGGGGCATGTGCCCCCCCTACGTATTGCCTATGCCTGCAGTGGCACCGAGCTTCCCTCCACCCTGTCATGCTGGGTCCTGCCTGATGGGCCGTGGAGGCCCCAGGAGGAGAGCAGCAGAGAGAGGAACCCCAAGCCTGCAGCAGGCAGCCTGCCCCCATCCCACACAAACCTAGGGGGCATGTGCCCCTGTGCCCCTCCGTGGGAGTGCATACAGCAACAGAGAGCCAGCCCCCCTGCTGCGCCCCAAATGAGTCTCCCGCAATTCCATCCCTCTCCCCACCTGAGCCCTGCAGCTGCAGATGGCCCCGGGCCCCAAGCCCCACACACCACACCAGCTGGGCACACCCAACTCTCTCAGTATGGGGGCCTCAATTCACTCCCCTTCCCCCCAGTCTTACCTGTGGGGTGCTGTGGGAGGTGCTCTTCAGGCTGCCTGGTGGTCATGTGCACATGTACATGGTGCTCCCTGCCTGACCTCCCTCCTGCTTCCCCCAGCCCCTTGCAGGCTGGAATTCTGCCAGCCTGCAAGGGCAAACCTTCTTTTCCCCAGCATTTTTCTCCTTTAAAGAAAATTTGGGTTTTCTCCTTAAAATGAGAAAATCTGGGTTTTACTGCATTTTTCTGTGGTGAACAGAAAACCTAGATTCCTGATTATGAGGATACCTGAGAGCTCTGGGTTATGCTGGAAAGTGTTAATGAGTTGATCAGTTTGAAAACAGTTACAGAGCTGGTTGGAGCTGCTGGTTCTGCTAACCAGGTGCCTGGGTCTCTCTATGCTCCCCCTTTTTGCTTCTTATTTTTTCTGACTTTGACCAAAATTAATAGAGTTCTAATCACTAAAGGGTAGCACATTTCCTTTAAATTTTGGAATTCATTGCATATGAAAATTAGAACATATGTTACAGATAGAAACATCACTGTGTGCAAATATCTTGCATCACTCAGTATATTAGGGCTGCAAAATCAAGCAACCTTGGATTTTCCTCCATGGAGCAGGAAATCCTAAAATAGTATTACTGTGAGGAAAGACGCTCACTGTGACAGCAGATACCTGCTAGCAGTGGAGAAATAGTGAGATGCTAAGAAACAGGTTCTGCTCCTGGTTATAAAAAGTCTCCCGTCTCTTCTCCTATATTCTATTCTCCTTACTCCCAGCCCCTCCAAACTGTTCTTGTCTGTTGTTTTCTCCACTCTTCCTCCTAATTCCAGTTCAGCTCTCTGCCTGCACCATTCTTTTTCTAGTCCCAAGCTCCTTGCCCATTCAGATGATATCTCAGCATTCTGTGATTGGTTTCAACGCCTATTTCCCTTGCTCAGCCGTTCTTGTTTTCTGTTCCTACCACCTTCTCATATAATGCCGTTGCTTCCTCTCCACCCTCCACCTCCTCAGCACTTCCATTTCCATTGCCAGCTTCTGGATCCAAGTCTCCAGTCCTTCATACACAACCAATCCAGTGTTCCCCTCAGAATTACAATCAGAATTTCTCTCTCCCAGACTCCAGTTCCAGTCTACTCTCTTTCCCCTACCCTGGTGTGTTTAGGATGATTTCTATACAACTCCCCCTATCTTTCCCCCACTCCAGTGTGGCTGTTACTGTGAGTATTCCATAAGGTGTGCTAAGACTGTATGTGGATTATCTTGATATGTGCAATATGCTGTTTACTGTTTGTCAGTGAAAGTGGCATTTCTAGTGGCAATTGGTAGCAAGGAGAGCGAGTAAGATCTGAGCTGTCCCAGCAGATCCTCTGTATACTATCTTTTACAGTCCTTCAATGCCAGAAAAGCTTTAGCTGATTATTTGCACATGACGAAGACTTTTTGTGAGTTTTCAAAGCTTTTTATAGCAATAGTAGAGAAATCTAACCACGTGACAGTTTCGGTTCAGAGATTGCCAAGTTGAATCTTTAAGCTCTGTTAAACTCTGTTATGAAACTGGCAAAATAGGGCCATCATCAGTGGGGTCAAGCCTGCTTCCTCGAAGTTCTATGCCAGGGCTGTCCAACTTCGGAGTAGCTAAGGGCCACAGACCTCATAGGCGCCCTGCTGTACTGCCAGCCCCTCCCTCCTTGCCTGCCCCCTCCCCCCAGCACATGCAGTATATGGGGCTCCAGGACTGCCGAGTTGCAGGCTCCCTGGGTTCTGGGGGGCTGTCACCCTGCCCTACCCCTAGGGGCAGGAAGTGAAAGCTGGGGGAGAGAGGAGCAACTTGGAGATCCTGGTGACAGCAGTATCCGGAGTGCTGGGGAGAACAATGCCCAGGCAGGATCCTGCAAGCTGCAGATTAAACCTTTGTGAGCTAAATTACTGGGTGCGTCAGACAGTTTTGGTCTAGGCCAGGGGTTTTCAACCTTTTTTAATAAGTGTACCCCTGGCAGCCAGACGTGGGAGGCGGCACGCGGCTGGATGCAGAGTGGCGGCAGCATGGGGGGGTGGGTGGCAGTGGCAGCCACCACGTGCTATCTCCCCCTTCCTCCCCCCATGTCCGGCCAGCTGGGCAGCACCTCTGTAGCCCACAGAGGGGCGCCACTGCCTTCGCCCTGCTTCTGGGAGGCAGCAGCAGGGGGTAGATGTACCCCTGGTTGACAACATCTGGTCTAGGTTATGTCTGTAGCCTATCTTTGCAGTGTATTTATAAGCAGCATCTATAGCAAGGCCACCTGGAGCTCAATACAGACCTGTATCAATACACTCAAGACAGAGATTGTCAACTGTGTTAGTCTAAAGTCAGAGCAAAGACAGAGTAGAAATGCACCTTATTGACTGAATTGGAGATGTATAAGCATTTGTGTGCAAGAGCTCACTTCGTCAGATACTATGAAAGGACATGCACAGAGAAGGGTATCAAAAAGAGAGAGAGTTGAATGCAGAAGGCAGAAAAGGGAGGGAGGTGAGGAAGACAGGAAAGGGAAGGCAGTGCTGAGAAAGGCAAAACAGGTAATAAACAAGGGGGTCCAAAAAGTTAATCCAGCTAATGGGGTAAGAATCTGTAGTCCCTGTTTAGACCAGAATTAATTAAACCAAATCTGCTGATTTCTTGTTTTACAATTTCCTGGTCAAGTCAGCTTTTTAAAGTACTGTTGCTTAAAAACAGCTACTCTTAGGTCATCAATGAAAAGTCTAGGAATGTTAAAGTGTTCTGCACTAGGCTTTTCTGTGTTGTTTTTTTTACTTCAATGTCAGACCAGTGTCACCTCATTCTTTAACATGGGGATTGCCCTGTCTGTCAAACATGGGCAGAGGGGCATTGTAAGTAGTGATGGCATATATGATGTTGACAGAGGTGCAAGTGAGTGAACCTCAGATGTGAGTTGGTTCAGATGTGAGTTGCTTCAATGATAATGCGAGTTTGTATTGATGGGCAGGGGGGCACAACTTGCGTTTGAGTCTGTTGCAAGGCTTGGTGCCTCAATGAGAATTGGAGGTAGGTAGCATGTTGAACATCACTACAAACATTAGGCTATTGTGGAGGCCTCAAGGAATGGTGCTGCTTTTGCTATGACAGTCTTTCAGTTGCTGTTTTCCTAGGAAACTCAGACCCACTTCTAGGTATGTGTGGGCACTACATTGGGGTCATCTAGGTGAGGGAGATTCCCTGCCCTCCATCAATGCTGACCTC